ACCTCAAGCAATCCAAATCGGCTTAGGTTTCTACTCTCAAGGCGTTTCTACTCTCAAGTCTTTGGTCTAGTTTGATCTTCCCAGGGGTCGTCTTGCGGTGGTATCTCTGTTCAAGCACACGCCCAAATGATGACAAACACATACGCACATACGTATATGCAATACAGCATAGACACAAGCCTGTTGAGGGTTTCCCAAAAAATCATTGATGGTCTTTCATGTCTTCACTTGGAGGGTTCAATCACTGAGTCTCATTCGGTCTTGGTCTCAGTGCTTGGAATGTAACCCATTAGGACGATGGAAAAAGCGCGCATGCCAGACCATGTGGGGTGTCGTTTTGGCACGTTCCCTTCAATGACTTTTCAGGTGTATAAACATGAACAATTAAACCTTTTCCATGGGTCAAATACAGACCCCCGCATACGTGTCAAAACAACAGGACACCGACACCCCAGAGGACATAGATCATACAAATAGACTCACATCCAGTGGGTCAGTCAGGGTCTCCCTATTCCAGGTCCTGCTTCAAACAATCATGTTTCTGGGTCCTTCATCCAATCCCCCATGACTACACATGACTACACCTACTTTTACTATCTTTTACTCTTCCCTCATCTCGGCGAGCAAAAACCTGACACGAAATTCGCGTCAAGACCGGCCCCAATCCCTTGTAGATTGACGTCACTTGACCTTTCTTTGTTTGTTCTACATGGGTGTGTATGAAAAACAGGAGACCTCTCAAAGATCCCCCTTCTTCTAGAAGGCAAAGTAGTAGACCCAAAACCTCCCGAAACCATCGGTTGGGGGTTCTCCCCATTGAACTACACACCCACATACCGCCCCGCACGACCCCAAACCTGACGCCCCACGCCCAGGCCACCGCGGCCGAATCGCAGAGTTTGCAGCCGCTCGGTTCGGCAGAAGGATCCGTTTGAACGGTTCGATCCGTTAGTGGGTGGGCTGTGAAGGTGGGCTGTGAAGGTGTAGTAGATGAAGTGGGATATGGTGGGAGAATGGTTTCCTTTTTAGGGTTTGTAAGCTATTGGAGGGGTCAGAGTGGATGAGTTATTATAGTTTGGATAGCATGCGATCGCCTGTTGCTTGTTTTATGTTCATATCCTTTCTTCCATTCAGCTGCGGGTGAAGGGTGAAGCCCTCTCCAGACACTGTCTACCTGTTTTCGCAGTGATTGAGTCTCTTCGCGATGCCTGTATCAAGCAGCCCATGCTTTTAGCGAGTCATACTTGAAGTGCTTGCAACTGTGACCTCCAGAGCCACACGCTTTGGTATAATAATTGTGAGACCAGAAACTGATTGACACTTCTTTTGGATCGTGCTCCTCTATACAATTTGCCCAATGCAAGATACGGAGCTGATCCGCAAAGTAGATCGAAGAGTCTTTCCACGAAAGACATGGCCTCTAGGGATGAACTGCCGCCCCTGGTGGACATCATGCCCAATTGGAGCAACACGTGGCCTATGAAGCCCATCGCCATCACCGTGGTGATTGAGACGTCGATTTCACCAGCAACATCAGATTTAAGGCTGACGGAACGACTTTGGGTTCATGCATCTCATGCATCTCATGTTCCAACACAACGGTTCTGAGGGTCCTATCATGTCCTATCCCTCGATCAACAAAAACGGTGCGCCCATGTGTCATTTTCGAGGTGATTTGATCAATGTGACATCTGCGCTTGCACAGTTCCAAATAGGCCCAAAGTAGTGCCCAAAGTATATAGATAGATCGAGCAGAGTATCGAGCAGTTTTGTCCTCCAAACTCTCTCAACAGGGAAACCCTTTGCGTGTTCTTTGACCTCAGCGAGTCTTTTGACCAACTCCGTCTTTTTGACTCTGAGGCTGTGGTGCTCCTTTACCAGCCTGCTCTTGGGCGTGCTGACGCTGTGCTGCCGCTGGCGCAAAAGGCCGCTGCTGCCGGAAGGCAGGGTCTGACTTCGCCGTGAAAGACCAAGCGAATCGACCCAAATCCAAAGCATTCGGCCGCACGGGATGGACACATTTCGATGGAAACATTGGGTATCTTCTCGGGTGGGGAAACAATCGGCCAACTGTAGGTGTTATGTGTTTCTCCGCATGGCATTTTATAATGGGGATCTTCGGATCTCACGGGGATGAAAAGGGCTTCAGTCAAGCTTGAGGATGGTTTGAGGCCCAAGCCGGTCTCGACATGTCCAGTTAGTTCTGAAGAGAACTGGTCGCCCGCAAAAGAAAAGAGGCTTCGATCACCAAACTTTGGAGGACCCTTTGCCTCGCCGTTTCAATGCTTCGACAGTCCAGGGGTTGACAGTTTGGTGGCTGATTGGAGTAGAATGTCAGTAACACATGGTTGCATTGCATGGACCTAAGTTGTTTTTGGATGCGAACAAATCAGACAAATACCTCAACACATCCACTGAATCATTAAAGCAAATGACCAAAACAAATTGCAGGCGTGTTCATAAAACTGTGGTCACAATGCAGGGCCTCACTATGCCCCCCAAAAAAATAAGATAACACCAATGTCTATTGACATTGCATGACACTATAGTTAATATACCCGAATAGATGCCAAAGTTCAGGATGCCAATTGTCAGGACAAAGAAAACGTCCTACCCGGTAGGTAGAACACCAAGACCTCCACCAACCAGGCGGCAAATCTCGTTTGCTTCGATGTTTGTTGCTTGAATCTCCCAGGCGAAGAGCAAGAGCTTCAAGGCCAACTGCTCAGTCTTTGCAGTGATACTTCAGGTGGAATTCTTCCGACTTCAAGTGAAAAAGCCGTGGCTACCCCATGTCTTCCCACCCAACCACCGACAGGAACACCACTCGACTCCATGGCTGTATGGCTGAACCGTCCCGCGCTGGACCCGGCACCGACTCGGAGCGAGGCTTGGGGGACGAGACGCCAAAGGGGGCTGCGCCTTGGCGTGGACAGCCAGGACCTTTAGTTCGTGACCTCTTTGGATGCAACGAATCCTTTGAAGGTCCGTGGTCTCCAATCTACACAAGGTCTGAAGGAACAAATATACGAGTGCTAGCACCTTCAAGCGCTTGAGTTCATGACCTCGGAGTCTCCTCCGGTGACCTGGACTAGCCTCACCTCATCCTGGCATGTCATGTCGGTCACTGTGAAGGTCCTGGAGGAGGGATCTGCAGATTGGACTCAGTCATGGACCCTCAAAAGAACTGGGAGGTCCTCCCATTTCATTACACCGATTCAGGGAGGGTGTGGACCAGACAATGATTCTGGTACGTGACTGTCGTAGAGGACGGGCGAGGGTTTTGGAATCTTCTGGCCACACAGCGGCTGAAAAGAGCAACTCAGTCTGACTCGGTGGCCCATGTAGGGGGAAACTGTGGCAGCGATATCTCATTCGCTGTGAATATGATCAGCTGACCATTTGGGTCAAAGACGGACTGCGACAAGGTAAAGCCCATGTGCAGTCCACATCAGTCCACCAGAAACTTTGATTCTTTGGACCTCGAACAACCTCAGCCTTCAGCGGTGTTAGCCCATGTCGCAGGGAGTGAGAATTGGTTCCCATGTCCCCACTCGCGTTGCCATTTCCTGCTAAGGAAGAAGCCAAGGTTTGAGTTGTGTAACCGCTCAGATTTGTTTGCGACCGACCATAGACGGTGGGTGCGCTCCTGCACCTTTCAGCCATGTGGCCAGAAGCACGGTCGATATTAATCCTTTTGCTTCTTGGAAGTGGAGCATGAAGCAGGTGGTCATTTCAGCCAATACAAACATGAGACCCACATACAAGATATACAAGGCAAGAACCGTGCTGCGTATGTTTTTAGATTCTAGATGGTGCAGGAGAACGACCTGTCTATGAGGGATAGGGTCGCGACTGGTGGTCGATCTTCCGCGAGAGCCAGAAGAGACCAGAAATGTTGCTTTGTTAAGAGTTAGTTCCACCCTACAGGTCAAAGACATTCAAAGACCTCATTGATGTAGCAGGAGTTGATCATACAAGAACACTCTAGTCAATGAGACTTCTAAAAGGACCAGGTGACTGGACCTGGGTCGGTTTGACCTGCAGGGCCAGGAAACCGGGAAACCCTCCTCTCCTCGGATGACTGGGGACTCAGTGAACTCTTGCGACTCACTGACCTCGCACGTCCGACGAGTCACGGCCTGGACAAAGCCTCAAGGAAGTAGTCATGGGTAGTACTTAACACCGTTAGAAGTTAAGTTAGAAGACGAAAAAAGAACATGTGAATGTGTTGCTGCCTTGCAAAGCCGGAGGCGACTCGTTCCATTGAAATAAGGGGGGAATTGGGGATCATGGAGGACGACGAACGCAGAGATTCACAGCTTGTCTCAGAACTTGCTTCAAAAGATGACTTGTGAAAGCTAAGGATTTCTTAAAGAAGGTCCAAGTCAAAGTCAGTCCGTCTCCTGGATTCTCCTGGTCAGATCGAAGCACCCTTTTGAAGAAGTCTTGCCCAGCTCCAGCTGTGCTGTCCAGGGCAACCTAGCAACGACTAGGCCTGCGACCCAAGGTCGCTTGCTCGGCTGAGGGGCCGAAGAAGAGAGCGAATCGAAGGGCCGAACGGGCCGAACGGGCCGAAGGGGCCTCCGGTGCCGGGTCGTTAACGAAGATCTCGATGTCTTACTTTTTGTCGGCGGGCAGCAGAAGTGGCGGGAAATAGTGGCCAACACACACACACACTGGCAAGTGCAAGTTCATCAAGCAGACCTCGGTGACAGATGGTGATACAATTGATACAATGCAGGGGGTGTATGGGAGGCTGCACCATGGGCTGTTGCACCACGGGACTTCTCCCGCTGTGTGCCCTACAAAAGCATCCCAACCTCATCCCACTCCACCAAGATCAGCATCTTTGGCACCAGGCATAATAGCTCAACATGGTCCATCAACGTGTAAGGCTACAACTCTCCATCGACCTAAAAACGACCCTCGGCCATCCAGATTCCCAGGACCTCGGGAGTTCCACACCTTTGCCTTCTCCGCCTGTGGACCGTTCCGAGGTCTACAGGGCCTGGATTTGTTTGCTCAGGCGGCACGCAAAGCGGCCACGGTGAGGCGCGTTCACGTGTTTTGGAGCGAGGGGTTGAGGGTTTCGGGGCTTGGCAACGAGAAACGCCAGGATGGGTGCAACAAGTGCGACGTCGTCATGTTGTGATGTGTTTGTGAATGATGGGGAAAGCTGGGGATGTGCTGGGGAAGCATCGGAAGCGGGCGCAAATAGATTCAATCAGAAGTGACGTCAAACAGTTGCTGCAAAAAGGGTCCATTGGTCTCAAGACAGTGAAGCGTAGAGCGCAGAGAGATCTCCCAAAGCCAAGCGTGTAGAGGGATGTAGTGGGCATTTGTGTTTTTCCCACCAGACTAAGGCTAAGGAGTGAATAGAATTGAAACTACACATAACTATATGAACGAATTCCTGGCGCACTAAACTAAACTAAGCTCTAGTTTGACCTCTTGATTTCAGGCTGCAACGAGGAGAGTCTGTCCGCTTGCGGCGGCCCCATGAAGTTCAGTCCGTCCGTGGCAAGCGGCTCCGAATCGAGGCCTGAGGACCGGTGATAGGACTGAGGCGGGGAGAGGGAGAAGTCTTGTCGTTGGGTGAGGGTCATGAGCACGAACCTATCACATGGAGAGAACGTCATGTAACCAGGTACACTCATGAGTTGGGTACTTCAGAAGGTCATGTGACGACGGTACACCCCCAAAGTCAGGGTTCAGTCACATGGGTCGTGGGTTGTGGGTTGTGGAGTTCACCCACAAGTTCCAAACGAGCAAAGAAGGGTCTTCCCGCGGGGGCTTCCGTGTGATGTGTACGTCAGAGTGTAGAACAATCCAACTTCAAGTTGGGTGGGAGCAGCGTTCGTGCAACATCTCAACTATATGTCAAATGGATGGTAGATCAATCATGCAACTGGTCGGATTTGACTGGTGTGCGTGCGTGCGTGTGTGCGTTTGTTTTGTTTGTTTGTTGATAAACTGGTTGTCTTTTTGTGTGTGTAGTATAGTGTAGTGTTGCTTTTTGATTCGAAAGATCCAACGCATTCAATTGGCATTGAAACCATATTTTTATGTACTTAATACTTCAATGAACTCTGAGCCTCACAGACTCACAGACTGGGGAACAGAGTTTGGACTCTGGCTCGAGCGCCATGCCGACCGATGCGACCAGCCAAAGCCACGGGTGGTGATTCCGCTTTGAGGCGTCGGTGTATGGATGGTGAGCAGACCTTAGATCTCAGCATTGGGGCTACGCTTTTCATCACTTCTGTTGAAGAATAAAAACAGGCCCTGAAAAAGGTGACCGTCCAGAAGAGATCCCAGGATGAGGTCACTTGGTCCCTGAAGAGGTCACTTAGAGACTCCAAAGAGGTCACGAACTGAAGGTCCTGGCACTCTCTATGTTTCTTCTAGTTATATATGTAGATTGGATGCCACAGTCCTTCTGAGATTGGATAGGGCACTCAGGTGTCTTTGGAGTGTCCAGCTGACCTTTTGAGAAGGTATGCAAACTTGAAAAGAACTTAATACATTTATAGACTATTATATAATATATAGTAGTACTTATATAGTTATACAGTTTTATATGTATATATATTAGATATATCATATTATATAAGTATATAGATGAATCCGTTTTTGTGGTCCAGTATGGTCAAGATTGGTCAAGTAATTTTGTATACAGTATATATATATATAGTTATATCTTTTGTACACATATAATAAGTCGCCAAGTCTTTTGTGCTCTCCGAGCCAGTACTTTGGGATTCTCGCATGTGCAAAGACAGAACCCCCCCAAAGCAATCATGTGAACCTCCTTGAAATTGGGCTGTTCTAGTGACGCTACCAGAACAATCCAACTCGAAAGCCTGCTGTTGTACAGTTTTACATGACCAAACATATTTCATAGTATTTGTATGTTTCATCCTTTGATTTGTCCAAGTGGAGCTGAGTGTGGTAGGCAAAGATGTCTTCGACCCGGCGAGACCCGTGGACCCACTCGTTGCCCCATGTGTTGGGGAGACCCCCCAAAAAACCATCCATCCCACGGGCCTGGCGGCGTCAGCGCCCATCCGTCCACGAGATCCGCGCTCCTGCGCCAGGTTGCCGGTCTGACTGGTGCCATCGGTCTGACGGAATCGGAGTTCAAAAGGATGCGCACGAACGCGCGCTGTTCGTGCGGCAGGGCTGTGGGGGAATATGGCACCGGAAAAAAGAGAAAACTGGTGGAGCACCATGAACAGAATAGACGACCTGTACTAGTCGGGGAACCAGAGGTTCGGGGCCCTGGAGGTTTGACCTATATACAGCCCTAGACTGCGGCGGTGTTCAGCTCGAGGCTGTTTTCGGTGCTAAAGCGGGTGGATTTCCAAGAGCGCAGCGGCTGGCGAGGCGGCTATGAGTGAGGTCATCAAGACATGCATATATACCCTATGGATCCACATACCTTCTGAGAAGGTGATTGGAGACTATTTATGTAGGTGCCGGGAGGGTCCAATTGCCTTCTGAGAAGGTATGTGGATCCATAGGGATAGACATTTATGAAGAATGAACATCCTGATATGAAGAGGTGCTTCAATCCGCATATAGCCAAATGACGCAAGTCTGAGGGCCTGAGGGGGTTTTGTGAATCTAAAGTACATCAATCATCATGACATTCACCACTGCCGCTATCTACTGGCACTTATATAATCACTGAGGCCGAGGCATGGGAACTCGTTTAAGGGAGCTTTTCGATGTTCAGTTTGTTCATTCACAAATCAACTTGCTGTGCAACTCAAATGATCTCAAAAGTTGCCACTTTGGGGTGTGTGAGTTGTTGGAGGTATTATATATATATACTTGTAGCATATGATTGCATATATATAATATATTATACTATATCATACAATTAATATTCATGTGCATAAAATAAACATAACACCGAACAACACCAACTAACTATGTTTACTATTATACCACAAATTCGGACCATGCATGAATGCCAAACCAGACAAACATAGGGCAGTATTGCAGTATCTTCCCAGAATCCATCACCCTGCCAAACCAAAGTACGCACACCACGTAGTTTGTACATGTAAGCGCAAATTGGGTTATCGATATCATAGCTAGCTTTTGCAGAGCCAGTACCACTAGCTGAGGACAATGAAAGGCCTTGTTGGTAGAAAAAAAAATCTGTGAGAACCAAATACGAGGTATCCATTGGACTACCACTAGAAACAAGCAACCCGTTGAAGTCCACATGATTGACATGATCCAAGGCTTCAGGTGAATTCTCATACCTGCACTTCCTCGCCATAGCATGTGTTTGTTGACTCACGACACAGCATCCTGGTTCAAATGCAGGGAAGGTGGGTGCTCCAGAAGCTGAATGAAATGAATCTATTTCAGATGTCGGCAGTGACAAGGATGTTCAAAGCCACACCTTACCTCTAGCAAAGCTGAGGACTTTTCACGGAGGGTGGCCCACCAGAACATGGCTGTCTTCAGAGCAAGAGATGCAAGAGCAACATAGACATAGAACTCAAAGGACACTGCCATTTATCGCTCCTTTGGTGTATCATTCTTGTGGGGCTCAAAAGATCAAAGGCAAGTCTCGGTGGACTCCGATAAGGTGCTTGTTGCTACTAGGAACAAGGACGCTACTAGGGGCTTATCATATCTTAGCTATGTTTTGTCGCCACAAACAGCTGCATTAGAGTGAGCGACCAAAGGGTCCTCACCATGGCCGCACATCCCACTTCACTCGGCGGTCCAGTTCCGTGTTGGTGTCTACGGTGCGGACCCCAGTAAAAACTTCAGCTGAAGGTTCACTTTTCATGGAGCGTGCACATGCACACACACACACACACACTGAATCAAACAGAATTTAAACCATTACAGTAGAAGGTAAAACATTCGTGGACCATATTACCATATGCCCTGTTTTTTAATTGGCAGGACTTACTTGCTGGAGCAGTTTTTGTTGTTGTTGACATTTCTCGTTGTTCCGGTCTTTGTTATCCTTCTTTTCTTCTTTGATTTGTTCTTGCCGGGCGCGGCGATAGTTCATCAAAGACTCGCCCCTGCATAGAGAGTGCCGATTGGATACCCCAGACACTCCATGGGACTGCCATAGGACTGCCTATATATATACATTGGGGTGGTTGACTGGGGGTCGATAGGCATGGCATTTTAGTTGGCATCTATGGCAGTCCCGAGTCCCAGTCGTGTCTGGGTGGACTTTTACAGGCCAGACGTGGGTCGGGAGGACGTGAAAGGCTGAACGAGCAGGGCTCCAGAGCGGAGTCGGCCCCGGCCACGGCCGCCTGGTCCGGACTGGAAGGGTTCATGCGGTGTTCAAGCGGCCCCAGTTGTTCCGAAGCAGCTTTGGAGAAGACTCCTTACTCCTTCATGGTTTTTGGTCAAGCTTACGACTGTACGAGTCTTTGGATACCTCGGAGGGTCCGTACTTAGCATGGAAGAAGAAGTGAAAAGGTTTCCAGTTGGAGACTGCAGAGATTCTTGGTGTGTGTGTGTGTGTGTGAAACCCTTGGATGGATTCAGAGGGGACCCTTTGCTTTACATGGCACTTGTTTTACTCGGGCAATTTGTTCACTTAGGGCAAGTGGCTTTCAGTTCAGTACGCATTTCCCGAGCGTGTCGTTTTGTTTTATTTGTGACGTGAGTACGTTTGGTTGTGGGTGGTGTTTTTGCGGCGGGGTTGGCTGCTGAAGGTTTGGAAAGCCCCCTCCCTCCCCACACATCTTTATATAACTCTTTGGGTGGCCTCAAATCATGATATACACGACTTCTCGTTAGATTGCTGATTTTGACGATTTTGCGCCGATGGTTTCTTAATGTGCATTGAACTCCTTGGGCGCTTTTGCTTTGTGCCTACGGATCAAAAACCTGCGTGCGTTCCAGTTTTATTCTTCAGGTGTGGCGGGGGGGCAATGACGTTCTTTGTCAGTCACACAATCATTTTTTGGTGCCGTGTGAAACAAACAACGCCTCTTTTTTTGTTGAGGTGCTTGGTTCGTTTGCAGTCGTTGTCTTCGCTCGCTAGTTCTTCGGTCGCGAAGACTCGTTTTCGTTGATGTTGCGTTCCTCCGTTTTTTGGTGGTTGATGTTCTTCGACAACAGTGGTTTGGACCTCACTTTTGTGGTGCATACTCTCCCTGGAAGTAACATGGTTACGTGGAAAACCACCACCTGTTTGGTTCGTGGATGGCACCATGGTCTTCCGAACTCGGGGCCCTCCACTTCCATGTTAGTTTCAGGGAGTACATCCGAATCATGTAGCATATCGATCGTCTCTATCGTGTTCCGTTTGACGCTGCTGGTGCTGTTCGAGGCTGCTGGTCGTCCTACATCGACGGGTGCCCTTCGTGGCAGATCACCCAGGGCCATAGGGGGCCTTCCACTCCCAGATGTGACTAATGGGACTGCCGTATATGCCTATCCATTGACACCCAAAACCACCCCTGGCCTGATCGGCAGTGCCATGGAGTGTTTGGGACTGGTTTTTCTCGTAGCAGACATGTAAATCTGTCGGTGTTCTGTCGGCGGACCTTCGCCGGCAAACACGTCGTCTCTTGCGAGTTCACCATTTCTGGCCGGCCACGGGGTCACTTAGAAGCCAAGAGCTAAACAATAGAAAATCAAAAGTTCATGCCGCTGGTCGGGCTGCGCGAGACCCGGGCAAAGCGTGGACAGGTGCGGACACTTCAGAGAACAGGACTTGAATCGCACAAAATGACGAACACAGATCCCTGGGAGTCAAAGACTATAAAAATAATGGTCTTTAGGGGACCTGAAAGGGAACTTCCTTTATTCAACGTATATACATCCTGGCACCCGTTGCAGGCAAAGACCCACCTCTCCAGGTCAAACCTGTGTTCACAAACCGCAACAAGTTTGAGGATTTGTCACAGTGTGCGAAGACAAATTTGCAAAACAACATCTTGGAAGTGCTGCAAGTCAGCAGGACTAGTTTTTGTGTTTCTTGTTGTGCTTCATTATTTAACGTTTATGTGTTTTTCTCTTGTTTTGATGGTACTTTTTTCACATTATTATTGTTCCGTTCCCGTTGATTTTTATTTGCATCCTTTGGCATGCATTGTATTGTTTGTTTCGTTTATTTCAAGCATTGCGTCTTCCAAATTCATCCAAACCATCATGAGGTTGTTGCTTTGGGTGGCTGACTCGCTTTGAAGCCCATGCGACGATCTTAGATTGGCAGATGCAATGGATGACGTGTCGAAGTTCCTTTGAACAAAGCACGTATGAATCGACAGAAAAATGGACAGTTTCTTCCATTCTTCTCCGGGTTTGCATCTCATCTTGGAATTCATATTTATTGGACGTTTTTGCTGCTGCTCTTTGAATGTTGTATATATATGAATATATATTATATATCGATGCATGCATGTATACAGAACCTTGCCTTGAGTCATTTTATTAATGTCTTATTTGGAGTGAACTTTGTGAAGCAACTTCGTGAAGCATTGGGCGCTCCAAAACTGAGCGAACTCGAGGTCGGATGACTGGTCCAAGGCCTGGCACACTTGAGACCAGAGGGGGTGATGCAATCATTTGCGATCGTTGCTTGACCCCATCCCATATTGTGCAGGACACTGTGTTGAAGCATGTGGTGTTGGTGGATTCCAGCCTAGTTTTGTGGTGGTTCGGAGACGGAACAGATGGGAGGGGCATGTTAGGACTCGTTTCTCAGAATTGCAACGCATGGACTCTGAATTTCATCACCGAGGGAGTGTCCCAGCTTGAAACACATCGTTTCACGGTTGATTGAAACAGAGTAGCAAAGTGAGTGTGGCTCCATCCAGTGCGTCCAGACTAGAAGAAAGACCATGACCCAACAAGGCCCAGATCCAAATTGATTCCTGAAAGTTGTAGCAGATACCTTCTGACGTTCAAAAGCTTTAGTCGACACGGGCCCCAGTGTGGACAATTTTTGCTCGCGAGTCGGAGAGTTTTCCACTGCTGTGGTGGAAGATTGCAGGCAACCCGACTATATAACAGTGTGAATGATTCCACATAGTCCCTTCAAGTGTCCTTTTATCATACATTCTCCTTCAAGTGTCCATTTATCAATTCTTTTCTCAACAACTGGTGAGCTCGTGGTCTTCCACCCACAGAGGCTTGGACACTTTGACACATGCAAATTTGGTCTTGGACAGTACTATTGGAAGATACTACAAGCATCTACAAGCATGTTATATCGTCGTTTGCCAGACTATATAAATCAGGCACAAACTTGTTGCTCCAATTGAAATCATTGGCCTTGCCGAGCCTGGCCAGTTGCTCCCAGAAAATGAATCTTCTTGAGTGTGTTCTTGGGTACAAGTGGGTGTAAAGACGCAGTTCTACCATCTCTCATGCGTGTCTCTCTGATCATTTACCACAACACCCTGTGTCGCAACGCCCTTTGTGTGAAACAAGCTTTCTGGAAACCCACCCCAGTGTTGCTTGAAAAAAATGCTTCAGCTCCTGCAGAACAGCGGCTGGTTCGATTCGCGTCACGCGGCCGTCGACTCCTTCGCAGGGCCGAGGGCCTCGGAATCGCTGCGAACGGCAACGGCATCGCTGCGAACGGAGCGTTCGGACGCTACGCACCGGTGGAGGCCATCGCTAGCTTGGAGGCCATCGCTAGCTTGCAAGACGCTACTAAGACTCTCCCGTCCCCAACAAGAGGAAGATTCCTTCCGGGTGACACGTTGAAACCCAAGACACCAGCGTCGGACTGGGTCTGAGCCTGACCAGGTGGATGGTTACTCACCTCAGCCTACAGCCACATGGAGGAAACAGTGGAGTTGGGCAGACACAAACGCAGGAAGACCCCGATGTTCCGTGCAATCAGATCCAGCGCAGAGGATCTCAATATTATCTCATTTACTTTCGGTCGAGTCAATGCCAGTTGTCCATGGTGCAGTTGTTGAGGAAGTCAGAGATTCAACATCAGACATGTTGTGACTTGCAAACAACATCGAATTGTCATGAATTATCATCAATGCCATGCCAGTTAAGTCATTATTTTGTTTGTCACTTTTTGTCCATGGATATCCATGGATGCTAATTCGATGTTGTTTGGGGAACGATCACGCAGTTGTTCGGGATACGCTCCGTGCTCCCACTGATCAAGAGGACTGTTTCTCGGGCATGTAAGTGGATAAGTGTCAGCCTCAAAGTTGAGGTTTGCTGTTTCCTGGATTCCTGAGTCGATTCCCATCATGTCCCATGCTGCACCATGTCCCGCCGGAGCTTGGCCTCCCCTTTGATTGATTTCCGGAGCTTGGCCTGTTTGACTTCAACAGGAGAAGTGGTCTGTTGCGCAACCGGTTGCGCTGATTGAGGCACCATGGTCCCATTTCCCACCATCGCAACACGTGTTGGCAACAGGTATATACTTCGATCTACACTTCTGCAGGTGGTCCTACACACGTACCAGTACTCACTACCCAGCATGTTTTACCACACCGACCCAGAGATACCGAGCGTTCTTTCCTCCCCAAAAGGACCGAACCGTTCTCCGGCCCTGCTTCCGGAGAGGCAGCATGAACCGCCCCGAGCTTGGGTTGGAGGGTTTCTCTTCGTTTGGGAGACCGAGCTGAGGCCATTGGGGCTGGATCCCTGGAAGATTTGGAGTTGGAGGACTTGGAGAGGTGAAGTGACCAACGAGCGGAGTACGGCGGAGTGCTGTGTTGCAGAACGCACGGGTTGGATGGGAATGCATTGCTGGGCTGCTGGGCACGGTGCCACCAACTTTGCCCATGGACATAGAGATATCGCCGCTATGCCATAGCCATTGTCAAGTGGATTTGAGACTCCTTCCCGCACCAATAGATCCAATTCGAACACTGTCATAAACCTTGGATTGTCCCGTCTTTGTCCTCTAATTGAAGTGGAACATAGCCCCTGACAAGACCTCTCCAAAACACTTCCATGGAACGTGAGTTGGAGTGTACAGGTTTGCGAGGTGTTCTACAGGAATTGCTACAGAATCCATGTGTCCTGCCCAACATAGAGGGTTTCCCAAGTTTCCCATGTTTCCCTCTAGATTTTCCTTCACAACTCTGGCCACATCTCGAAGGCTTCGCTCATGACCTCAGACTTGTCAGGCCCAGTGCAGCCAAGCCCAGCACTTTTGAGCCTTGGCATGCCTTGGCCGGTCGCTTCGATCGGATGACTTCCATGCTGGCGCCCATCCGCTGGAGCTGCGAGCTGAAGCAACCAGGTCATAGTGGGCGGGTTTTGGAATAGCGAGACCCCCCGAAATCTCGCCGCGCTGGCTGGGTTTGGACTGGTACTCTCTGGAAGAGAACCTCGGAACGCCTATAGGTGTCGGTCTCCCTATTCGAGCTACACACTGATGTCCAAAGAAGCCACTCCCCTTCTGCCGGTTCCTCATGCGATGCTGAGGTTCTTCTCGCTTGGATGAGCTGTCGAGCTGGCTAGACCAGGTCCACACCGCTAAGCCCCAAGCAACAAATCCGTCTTCGTGGCACCAAGCTCACTGTAGATCAGTTGGGCAGTAGAAGGTCAACGTAGCGTGGGTGGTCAACTCCGTCACCAAAACCCTTGGGTTGGCGCTCGGACCAGGTTGGAGAATGGATTTCCAACATTATGATCTCGATTTCCATAGATTTCCCGGTGAATGGTTGACATTCGGGATCCTTCATTCTAGCTCAAAAGTTGCATGGTTTCTTGGAAAAAGTTGGACTACCGTCTATTTCAGCAAACTTCATCCCCCCCCTCAAACAAGTTGCTAGCCTTTGCATTTTAGACAGTTGTGACCCGAGCACATTTCTGGCTTTGGACCGCTGTTCCACGCGCTGTTCCAAAGGACTCGGGGCTCCCACGGATACCAATGGGAGGCGCCTTCTACTCCTTGATTCCGGGAGGATTCAGCGGTCTGGTTGTGCAAAGATGGGGTGCATTTGGTTCAGGCCCTAGGGATCCAACGACCTTCTCAGCAGGTGACTGGAGACACCGCTATGTAGGTTTGCAGGGTCCAAGTACCTTCTGAGAAGGTACTTGGATCCATATATAGGGAGGTGATTGACACCCTAGAACTAACATGGTTACGTGGATGGCATGGCCCCGAGTTCGGGTACGACCATACCAGTTCTGCGTTTTCACTGCACGTTCGAAATCGTGTGGGAGGTGTGGAGAGTACCAGATTTTACAGGGTGTTGCCAGTGTTGCAGTTGCTTACCCAGACTTGCAAGAATCTGTGCAAATCCGTTTGAACCATTACCGATAAGGGTGTACGCGCTAGCTAGGCTACACTGCTATGCTGGGTACGGTATGCCGCGAACTCGCAGCCGGTCAGAGATAAACCATTCCGGATTATGTTGTAACCAACTCTATGGTATATCGGCAGAACATGGGACTTGTGCCCAGGCAAGCAGGTAGTTTCACGATGGGCTCTTTATGCTCTTTACCCATGAGCTCTTGGGGCCCTGTTCAGTTGAGGTAGTTGATCTCCATTTTGGGTGGGACAGGAGGACATAGTCAATTTGTTGGCCCAAGTAGAGGACTTGCTCGTACCCAGAAACGGGGATGGGTTGCAGAAACCTGGAGCCAGAACAATGACAACCAAAAGTCCTCCGGTCCCAAAAGTCATGAAAGCTCCTGCTTGCTACCAACAGTCCCTGCTACCAACAGTCCTTGCTACCCCCCACTGTCAAAGGGCCCAAAGGGACGCGGGCGAATCGCACGGTATCGGTAGGTCGTGCGTCAAGTGGTCGGTCTGGAGTGAACCTGCCGAATGAAGGTTGTTTGGATCGACACATTGGATTCAGAGTCAACCTGGCTGGATACCAGCCAAACGTTGTCTCGAATATGAGGGTAGACAGATCCACGTAGCAAAACCACCCCGTGATTGGACCTCAAATGCATGTGCACGGAGAAACAGATCTCGTTTTCATTTTTGGAACTACCGCAGGACGGTGCCCATCAAGTGAGAAGCCTTCTTCCTGACTTGCGAGTCACATCAATAGTGCCCTTGGAAGCTTGGTGACTCCTCCCACAAGTCCGAATTCGAAGATGATCATCCTTCAGGGCCCATCACACGCAAGAAGGAGCCTGCAGCTTGACCCAAAAAGATCCTCGCTGCAAGTATTCTGTAAGTATGGCCCAATCGGAGTGTGTGTGAACCAGCCCCGGGAAGAAGGAACGTAGATAGATTGTGTTAATCCCTATTAAAATATACACACCCATAAATGGGTTTTGCAAGCACACATGGGTACGTGTCCCATGCAGATGACACATCCCTTACTTCAGGGGATGACCCACGAGAAGTACAGTCGCCACATTCTTAGTTCGCTCCACGCGTCTGTTGTTTAATATAGTGTTTTGATGATGTTTTTTGTGTTTGTTGTTTTTCCATTTTTGCCATGACGTCATGGAAACGGCCTAAGTGGGACGCTCAAGATGATGCCATGATGTTTTTTTCATATGTTGCCTAAAGAGGCCCATGATGGCCGCTGCGCTCTTTCTGCGTTTTCATACACTAAGAAGCCGGCGTTGCTTTCGAAGCCAGACATCGGCAGACTGACTCGTCTCCTAGGCCTGCCGAGCGCATCATCAGCCGAGCAGCCTACACGGCTGGGAGCCTCCAACACCGAGTCGGGCGTTTTTCGGATCACCCGTCTACTGGATCACCCTGCGATGCAGACTCAGATACCCTGTTTGAGCAACAAGAATACAACCTCCATATATCTCCATATGGCAGATTCCAATATGTTTTTTCTGTTTCATGTCTTTTCATCTTTATAGTTATGTTTTTGGTTGCTAGCTATCTCGGGCGCTGATGTTTGAGCCAGGGGCTCCTTTAAGCTTCCGGCCCCGTGATGCCGGGGATCCACCGCCGTTTGTGCGGGCTCGAAGAACGGGTCCGCTTCAAAAGGAAGAACTCCTTACCCCGTGGCGGGGTCGCAACACGTTCCCACTCTGGAAGAGGACGAGCACGGATTGGGAGACGAGCACGGCTGATGACTTGGATGGGTTTGGTAGAAGTTATAGAAGTAAGGCTTCCGATCACATGCGCCACACCGATCATCCAGCCGCGTTTGATGCAACACGTAACGTCTACATGTGGAAGACACTCACGGGTTTGGAGTTTCTCACTTTCGACGTGTCTTGCTTCCACACGTGAGAAGACGACATTGTCCAATCTAAATGTCACATCCAACATCAAGATACAATACATCAAGATACACACATGTTATACATCAAGTCAAGATATCAAGATACACACATGTTCCATCATATCTTCCTGAGTCAATCAGGCATTTGTTCCGCGTCGATTCCATTTTCATCGCTTGCCTCAGGCGCGAAGCTTGGTCCGTTTGCTGGGAATTGGTCTGATGGCGCGGGCGTCCCATGGGCAGCGTACTCGCGCGGGCGTCCGTTGTGGAAGATTGGGGTCTGGTATTTGGTAAAAGACATGGGTGGCAAAGTGTTTGATCGTTTGTGTGTGTGTTTTGCTGTTGTTTTTGGCCATTTTTGCCAGGGGCGATGCTGTCCACTTCCATGTTGTCATGTTGGACCCAGCAAAGCGCAGGTCGGGTTAGGCCAGCTGGCTTATGCCAGCTGGCAAGTGGCGGGTTTGCTCTGAATCTGTTTTTTGTGTTGTTTATTCCCCTTGAGGCACGACCAAAACCACCTGCAATATACCATGTGCGATAGTATCGTGACTTGCAGCCTTGATGGGTCCCAAGCAGTACCTGGCTGGGTCCCAAGCCCCTCGCGTTTCCACGCGTTGGACTTTGCCCCGCGCCGCGACCCGGCGAGGTCACAGTTCTGGTGATTGCAGTCATGAACTGGCAGGGCTCCCTGAGCGCAAAAGATGGGCAAAATCAGACGAGTCTGTCGGATGACGCTCGGATGTCAGATGTTCAAGACCCCAGAGGTCCGGTATGGGCCGGTGTGGCTCCGCATGAGGAATGCGTCATACTCGGGTTCAATCCCTGGGTGCAACACTAGGCAGACAGGCAGGCCACTACCCCACCACCAACAACAGCAACAGCAACAGGTACAGGTGTTCAAGGCCCATATCCATTTTGCAGAAGTGTGTGTGTGTGTGGATGACTCTGAGGAACTGCAGGTACTTGGTCTAAGTTGTCGACACCAACGCATCATGCATGTGGTATAAACTTCACCCTGCATTGGGCGCAGTGGGCAGGCAGCCGGCCATAGCCAGCAGGTGTTGATTATCGAAAAGGGAGAGATGTGAGAAGGGCTGAAACGGGGTAGGTAGAGTGAGGAGGCAAGTAGGCACACTGACCATTCAGACAATCATGGAAGCTGAGCAGACCGTTGTAGAGGAACATGATCTTCCAGAGGCCTATGTTACACTTCCATGATTGTTTCAGGGAGACCCCATCCAAGAGGTTACCAATTGAGACCTGTAGTCCTTTGAGGTCCACAGGCAAGCAACCATCAATTCAAGTCAATTTCTCACTCCCAATTGCACATGTTAAGGAGCGCAAGGCCCATTCACTAAGTCGAAACTGAAGACTTGACATGATTTCTTCCAGCACTCAGCGCAGCGCAGAGCGGTACGCCGTACCGGTCTTGCCCAGGCCACCCTGGGTCATTGAGAGCTCGGATACCAGAGTCCAACCCGCCCCAGAGTCGTTCGCTGCGCTGTTCACGCCGCGGTTTTTCCGGACACCGTTCAACCGAGACACACGAGGGTTCGTGGAAAGGAAGCTGCGCTGGGTTCGTTCGTGTTCTCCACTTGGCAGACGTGGGAACAAGAATTGACCCGGTCGGGCTCCAACCATATTCCTCAGTGTTCGGTGGTTGCGGTGTGTGCCGGCTTTGAGATGGTTGGAGCCGGTGAGAGCAGCTCTTGGCCTTCCACAGAAATGAGTTGTTGCGTACCATGCAGACAGGAGTTAGACATGCCCTTACCCTTCAAAACAAGAACATGCCACATCTGTGCGCATCACCCCGCTATGCTCAATCCCTAATAATGGCAGCGTGGAATGTCAACTTCGTGTTTCGTGTCCTGTGTCCTCTATGACTCTATTTGCTCAAGTCTCCAGTCAACTTCCCCGTTCACATGCTTCACCTTGTAGTTTAGACATGTTAAGAAGGTGTTTGTTCTTCCAAGTTCGTCTCATTCTCGGTTCCTCACACCTGAATGCTGCGATGCTGCTTCGTGTACGATCGAAGTCAGGACGCTGGTCAGAACGCGGGTCCGCAGCATTGGATGCCTGAGACCGTTTTGATTCTCAAGCGCTATGAGCCGAGGGCCGCCGGTCGTTGCAGCATGGAATCCGAGCGCGTTTGCATCGAAGAACACTGGGGACACTCTGCCGTTGTCCCATCTCACTCATGCTGCAACCCGGCCACAAAAACCAAAGCACGACTTTTGTGGCACTCGGGGCTGGCTTTGGAGTGATTGTTAGTTTCCACCTGTCAGTGGATCCTCTTTGATCTCTTCGCGGGATTGTGCTTTAGTTTTCCGTAGTTTTCCTAGGTTCCTGGAGCGAATCCAAGTTCAAGAGTCATGGGCATCATTGGACAGACTCTGTTAATTATGTGGGTCGGTCCCCAGTTTCACTACCGGAATGAATAGTGCGGAGGGTTTGCTGGAGAGATGCTTTTCAAGATCTGATGTTTGCTGTTCCAATATTTTTTTGGGCCAAAAGCTGAAGTGAAAGAGGTTGAAGGCGGAACACCTGAAAGCATCCACATTCTTGGCAATGGAGAATCCAACCAATTCGAAGAACTGGGAGAAAAGTTCCCTCCAAAAACCTTCCATGTTCGAAGATACCTTCATAACACTGCTCTGGTAAAATCCCTACACCTCCAAGTACCTCCTCAGAAGGTATTTAGACCCTCCAAACCACCCACCCCCAGTCCCACCTTCGAAACGAAGGTACACCTGGAGGCGGGAATGTGTCGTAATTGGCGAGGAACCAACCAAATCTGCCCCTTTTTTTCTTCAGAGGATTTGGAGCGAAAGGAGAGGAGGTGACCTGCCCTGGACACGGCGACGGCGAGCCACCTGAGGTCTTAGCACCGGGCGTTGAAGAGAAGATTTATATCGAGTTTTCGGACTGGGTTGGGTGGCGGAGTTGGGTCGGGGGGCGAAGTGAATCAAGCCTGGCATGGAGACCTTGAGTCCTTGGGTCCTAAAAAGCATGAAATAGCGATCATCGTAGATTTCTAGATCCTTGCCATGGTCCAATGTATAGGCATTATTAGCCCAATTGAGATTGAGGGATGCTCAGCATGCTTGAGGATGTGGCAGCTCTTTGGTGCATATAGGGCCGAGCTCCAAGCAGATCAGAAGGCGCAACCACCTGAGGATATGGTTGGAGCCCTGAAAATAGGTCGACCGTTCCGTCCCTGGGCCGCTGCGCCAGGACGTCCGTCTGGACCACGGCATCCCCGCAGAACACCTGCGGTGTAAAGCGTATGTCGGTCCGCAGGCGGCCTTGGTCGAAGGAGCTCCTTGGCCATCGAGTCGGATCGTTCGAAGGAAGCTGCGGCGCATGCGGCGCGTGTGGTGGGAGTGGGACGTAGTTGTGGCGCCTCAGTCGAACATCGTGTGGTTGCATTCGTTGGAAGAAAACCATATGCACAACTGCTCAAGCACTTGGACAAATCATCGGTAGTTGAAAAGTACTGTTGGATGAATTTTGACTAGAGTATCAGGTTTGAGATGCAGGTTATTCTACTCAAGTGTACTTGCACTACTAACATCGCCTTGACCGGCAGCCTCTATAGCATCAGCTCTACTGTAGGCGACCGTTCAAGCAACGAGACCAGGCTTTCAGATCATCACCCACTCCAATTCAGCATAAATCCTCAACGGTCTCGAGTCTTGCTACCCTGCCAAGGCAAAGGTTTTGACACCTGGCTTTGAAGTTGAAGGTTCCATCACGTTCCATCATGATTTGCAAGCACAGACGCCAATCAATTCACATGGCGATGGTTTCTCAGTTTTCATGTGGCGATGCGGAACCGCAGTTCCATCGTTCACCTGACCCGTCACGCGTGGCGTGTCGTCACCCAGGATGGCCCCGACAAGTCACGCCTGCGCGAGATTCGCCTGGACGCTGAGCCGATGTCCGTTCTCTGAGACCGGTGGGGACTGGACGAACGTTTCGCAGACGAGGCCAGTTTCGCAGGAGAGGCACCAAGAGGACAAGAAGGTTACTGACCAGGAGTCAGAGAGCTCGGTGTGCCGAACTTGGAGGATAAGGTGCCCCTGTCACATCCACTGGATGGGACCAAACACCACCCCCGACATGTGACTCCTGGTATATCATGTCTTGTAGGGTCGAAGCCAAAAGAAACCTCCGTTTGTTTTGGGAGGGTTTGCGTCTCGAGGATACATTTACCATCATTGACCCCGAACTTCAACCACCTGAACCGATCGGGAGTCATGCCAGTCCCAAACTGGTCGTGTTTGGGGTATGTTTATCCCAACCATTCCATGGGCCTAGCACATTGACCTACCTTGTGGTGGTTGACGGAGGTCGCTGGAGCGGCATCTATTCTGGTCCCAAATTGGTCGTGTTTCAAGGCTTGGACCCGATCAGATGGGGATGGGTCGTGACCCACCATCTGTTCACGTTCACCAGTCCACCATACTTGCTTGCGGCATCTTCGCGTGCGAGAGAACACCGAGTGTCACACGTCAGGCCTTTAACCTCGTGCCCGCGCGTTTGGTCTCCGAGGTGCCAGTTCCCCACCGGCAGATCCGATTGTTCGTGGGATTTCTGCCTTCCTTGTTCGATCTTCACATCTCTGAAGAGAAGAGTTCAACTAATGTTCAACCATCAGCTCGCTTGATCCGTTGCTGACCCCTGGAACCCCCGGAGATGACACAAAGGAACCATTTTACCGAGCTGATGAAGCCCCTCTTGGATCTCCGTTGAAATCCCAAAACCCCCCTCAAAATCCGGAATGTGACAACTCCAGTGGTTTGATTGACGCGTGAGTCATGAGACATCAAAAAGACATGGCATGGCCATCTTCGAAGGTGAGGTCACATGCTTTTGGGCACGACATGTATCCCTATGGATCCACATACCGAACCTGAGAATCGTGATTGGAGACTATTTATGTAGGCGCCAGGAGGGTCCAATTGCCTTCTGAGAAGGTATGTGGATCCATAGGGTGCTTTTTGGCCACCCCAAGGTCCAAATTTTCTCTTGCATGAATCATGAAGTTGCCAAAGTTTCTTCCCTTGAACTTTCCTTGACTGTGGGATGACTTTATCGTACTCGTCACTAATTGGTTACCAAGCAAGCAGATCAACTGTCTCCTTCAGAAGCCGGTCATAGCAGCCCTGCCACAAGACGTTAGTATACGTTAGTCATACGCACGTGGCACCCCTGCAACGTTTGAGCAACAGCAAGCATGAATGTACCGGTCAAACATGACTCAATGAGGTTAGTAAAGAACCAGGCTTTACATTGTTTTGACTGGGTCAAACGGGTCAGACTGGACCTGCAACGAAGGGAATGTCCAGGCGGAAAGATTGGTGTCTGGTCTTATGTGGATGTCACCCCCTGTCGCAGTTGACCATCCTGGACCTGTCTGGCAACGATTTGGGGGGGTCTGATTGCAAACGGGAACATATCCCAGCCTTTATGTCCATCTTTGTCCCCTCCCTGGCCATCCCTGGCTTTAAAGCCATTTGCGTGCCATCATCAGCCTCTGGTCGTTGATTGGTCTCGACGAAGGTCACACATGGGGGTCTCCAAATGTTCCCACACCTGATAGTGCTGACAACGCGACCCCCCCCGTCGAAGAGTTGAAGACTGAGGAATTTGTTGGTGGCTCCAACCCAAAGGCCATTGCAGAGATCCCCATCGGCGCGCCCAACGTGAGCGCGGCGGAGCCCTGGGCGATTCGAATCAAGTTGCAACTGGGCGAGGCGTCATGGGGCTGGGTTGTTCAACCTGGAGCCCGATCAGTCCACCATGTAGCAAGCGAACGACCGACACCAGGTAGGCCGGTTGTCACCTGCAGCCATAGATCAAACAGGTTGAGTGATGGGTGAAGAAGACCCATGTTGTTGTTGCTGTTGCTGTTGCCGTTGCCGTTGATGTTGTTGGTGTTGGTGTTGTGGTTGTGGTTGCGGTGGCGGTGGCGGCGGCGGCGGCGGGGGTGGTGGTTGTGGTTGTGGTTGTGGTTGTGGTTGTGGTTGTGGTTGTGGTTGTGGTTGTGGTGGTGGTGGTGGTGGTGGTGGTGGTGGTGGTGGTGGTGGTGGTTGTTGTTGTTGTTGTTGTTGTTGTTGTTGTTGTTTCAGGGAGATTTGTTTACTCTAAAGCTAAATCCATATAGTGTTTGTGTATTTGTTCAGCAAGTTTATGCAACTTGATGTATGTGCATTGGGTCCCTGCTGGTGATGCTGGTCTAGTTTAGCACGTTCTGAGGCGTGGACACACGCCAAACAAAGCGCTGCCGCTTAAGGAGAAGTGCGTCCTGCCCATTTTGGATCCTTTAGTTCCATGTGATGACAGTGATGTGTTGGATCCGGGATTTGAAGTGTTTAGTTCCACAAGAGAATTCCCATGTTCCATGGTGTTCCATGAATGTTTATCTTTCTTTGGAGCTTTCTGAAGTCATTTGTTGTGTGAACTTAT